TGCCGCAAGATTGGAAAAACGGTAAAGCCTAAACAACGGTAAAAACCAAAGTGCCGCTAAAAGCGACAAACCGTTTCCACTGCTATCTGATACTATCGCTGATTCCATCCCGTCGCTGTTAGCATCGCTGCTGCAATCACGTCRCTGCTGCCATTACGTAGCTGCTACTGTCGTCGCTCCGCTGCTGCCATTAATCTGCTGTTGTCATCACTCCACTGCCGCTGTCGCTGTTGATATTCAGCCGCTGCTGTCATCGCCCCGTTGCTGCCATCACTCCAGTACTGGTGCCAAGCCGCTGCTCCTACAAACCGCTGATGCAACAAAGGGACGTAAGCGCCGGCAAACAGCCGACGCACCAGGTAACGAGTGCGATTTACTGAAAGCAGTGAAAAAAAAAAAAAAAAGGTAACAACAAAACGAGTGGAGTCAGTTTTTGGCTCTCCCTTTTTACTTTACATATATTACATTGACATTATTGTATTGCCTTGTATTTATTTGTATTTAATATACAAACATACATATATACATATATTAATATATGCTCAACTATATACGAATTGAAAGTGAATAAGGGATTTTGGGATTTTACGGTAGCCCTTTATTTTGAAATAAAGGTGAAAAAATTATTATCTGCAGAATTAAATTTTCTAATATTTCGCAATTTTTTTCGATCCGTGTTTGCAATTATCGGTCGATTTTCGCAATTTTTATCGATTTTCGTTCGGACATTTTCCGATKAAATTACTTTTTGTGCTATTGCTCATTTTGCGCGTTTATTGGTTTGGCCTTCATATACTTGGGAATCGGAGGAAGGAGTTGACGGACTTAAAATCATTAAGGCGTCAAAGAACGGTTGCGAAAAGTAGTATTTTGCGCATTAAAACGGGCCTTCTCGAAAAGACTATGTCTTTAGATCCAATAGAATTGGATTGTCGTCTCGATATATTAAATTCACATAGTGAAAAATTTATGAAGTGTCAATCAAAGATTGAAGAAATTGATGAGGACGACATGGCCCGAGGGGAGTTTGAGGACATAATCGTTGAAACGAAATCCATAATTAAGTCAATTTTAGCGAAAAATAAAACTTCACTTGCCGAAACATCTTTTKTWGCTTCTCACAGCTCAAGGCTCCCTAAAATGAATTTGCCGAAATTCAAGGGAGAATATTCAGAATTCAAAAGTTTTATGAGTTTGTTCGAGAGCTTGGTTCATAACGRTSYAAATATCCCAGATATTGAAAAATKTAACCATTTGGTTAATTGTCTATCTGGAGAGGCTTTGGAAACAGTTAAAGCGTTTCAGATGTCGGATGAAAATTACCCGAAAGCGTTGGCAAGTCTCAAAAAAGTTTATGATAATAAATGTTTGATATTTTTCAATACAATATCTAAACTTTTTGAGCTGCCAACCATCCCAAAGCCATCCCCGCCTTCATTGCGATCAATGCTCAGCGGTATATGACTCATTGCTATGGGCGATGAGATACTGATAACAAACGCTATTATAATACATTTAGTAATGACAAAGGTTGACCCTGGCACCCGATCCAAATGGGAAGAAGCGCTGGACTATGACAAACTGCCACTGTGGAAGGACTGTGAAGCCACCTTAAATAGGAGATACCAGCAGCTAT